CTACAATTTAACTGTTTGAGTGCCAAACGGCGCGATCGCGCTTTTGCGTTACACTGTTTAAAAGTACTTGATTCGTAGAATCAAATTAACTTTATTCATTTGTCTTCCTTTTAATTATTTATTTTTATTTTTGTTATTACCTGCTTAGAAATGGAAAAACGGAACGATCGCGCTATTTACAGTTTTTTCATATAAAAATAGAAAAGCGTAATTCAGTTTCTAAACTGAAACCAAAGAAGCGCGATCATTCATAACATTCACAGTACGGAAGTAACATTAGTAATCGATATTTATCATAAGAAAAGTATTTATTCCATTTAGTGGAGCACAATGTTACGAAAGATTGAAAATAACTAGTTCTTGGCAATTTAGAGGAAGTCGGGCAATTAAAGTCGCCCTACATATTTCTACGTCGCGGTGAGAGGCGATTCGATCAATCTCACCTTAACCAATGTTACTCGAACCGATCGCTTGAGGCGCGAAAGTGATAGCTACTCAAATAACAACATCTGACAAAAAGTATATCTCTAAGTTTTATGGAACGTTAATAAATCGTTTAGTAGTATCTATTTTATATAGTAAACAATATAAAATGAAAGGTAAGTAGATATTTATAAAAAAATATTTATAAAATAATCGTTTACTATGTTGTCAAGATAATCACCTTGAGTGGTGTTGTAAAAGTTTATTGTACTGAGTAAGTAAGTATCTATAAACGTAATTTTGCAAACAACATTTATATTTAATAAAATGTACTGAACTAGATTCCTTAGTTATATAGGCATATCTACTGTTTACTTTTTTCATTAAAATCCATTCTATAGAAATTTTGTATGATTCACAAACAGTACACAACAGATTGTTGTAGTATAATGTTGTATATTAATTTTAGCAGTACAAAATGGAATTTTATAAATTTCTCGCTTTAACAAAATAACTTAAAGTTTCATTCATTTTTCATCATATTCTGATATAATATTTTTGAATAAACGACAACCCATAACTAATACCTTGATAACATATTTATTGAAAAATTATCGAAATCAAAGGTAGATCCATTTTTTTAAACATTTATCGAATATAAACATAATATTATCATATTTATGTAGCATATATCAACGTGCACTATGGTTATTTATATTGTACATATGTATACATAATATAATATTATAGAAAGTATATGATAACAACAGTTGTTCTGTATGTAAAAAACTACGGAAAAAATAAAGCTTTGTTTGAGAGATTAATTAATTTGTTTTGAAGAAATTTAATTTTGATATTCATTAAAGGTGTACGCTATGAAATATAAATCAACAGGTGTGTCTGTTCATGACCCGTCGTTTCTACTTATTTGTAAATACGTAAGTAAATCTATACCGCAAATTTATTATCAATAAATAATTTTTTAATTCGATTTTCTTAATAATAAAATCCTCAATCGAAGAATTCTTATTCTTTTTTGTATTAACTTATTCTTGCAAACTTGCAGCTTGTACCATGTCTTATATTACAAACAAAATTTGATTGATTTAAATATGTAATTTCATTATCCATTTCATATGTATATTTAAAAATACTAAATCTTAAACTTTTACTCCTATCTTTTCGATCTAATATGTGAATCTATTAGAATTTCATTTTCCTTGCAAAATCATTTTCGTTTTTGTGCATTAATTTTGTAATATTAAGAACATTTTGTATTCGTGTAGGGAATATACAATGCAATTATTAATATTAATTGCATAAATTATATTCATTTCTAGTTTGTCAAAAGATATTACTGTTTTCATCTTGATTACCCAGCTGCTATAATAGCTTCTACAGTAATATCATCTTTAATTCAATTGGTTATACAGAAGAAGATTGAAAATGGCAGCAGTGTTCCACTAATTCAGTAGAGGCCAAGCCATATTTTCAATACTCCTATTGAATACGATATGTCGTTTCAACACCAGTTGCTGCCAACTAGTTATCGTACATTAAACTAACAAGTTCATCTGAAAGCAACCGCATAAAAGCAAGATTGTCTAGAGTATTTCATATGTGAAATTTTAAGTACTCGTATTATCAAAATTCAGGAAACTCCTCATAAGCATTTAAATCGAACTTAACAGAGTCAATTAGAAATTCTATCTACTCTATTTAGTATTCACGCATGGTCTTCACATAATATATATTATTTGAAATGTAAAACTAATTTCTTATTATCACAATCACAAGAAAATATTAAGGGAAAACAAGTAAAATATTTGTAGAATAATACATTTTGCAAGTTTAACAATTTCATTATAATGTACAACGAAAATATATTATTTATAGATAGATTATATTTTCTAGTCATTCTTCTCTTCAAACATTCAACTCTTCTTTATTACATATTAAGTGTTATGTAAATTCAAAGTCGTCTAAAAAATCTATAAGGGCTGAATATATTATCATAATAATTTTTAAATAACCAAATATTGAAGTACATGTACCGATATGCTTTCTATACTTATTTTTTAAAAATTATATAACAAATGGGAAATTATGTAGGTACGAATGGATCATATTATTGGAGAAATTTTAAATCAATTTCATTTACTATTAGCGAAAACTGTGGATCAATATCTTCGATATTTCAAATCCCACCTCTATACATTAACACTGAATTTTAGTTGGCGTATTTTATTCTTTCTAATCCCATAGGTTTCGTATAGCCTACGTTCGTCACGGTTCAACGATCGAAAAGTCATGCGTGGAACGGTTAAAACGCAATGAGGAAACACTTGAACATCTCCTTTAATGAAGATATATAGAATTTTTCATAAAAACGAATATTTGTCGACATTCACAGATAGACCGTATGGCTTTATTGCTGCAGATACGCGTGAGACTCTGAGTGGAAGAGAAGTACGTTTGACGAAAGAGATAGAGAAGAAGGGGAGAAAGAGAGAGAGAGAATAATTCCGTGGAGACGAATGTTTTAAAAATGGAAAGAAAGAGACAGTTTTCGATAGCGAGTCAACGAGGCAATCATAATAAGCTCAGAGAGCTTCCGAGGGAAATGCAACCAATTTATTGTATATTAATTGCGTCGTTCGCACGTCGAAGAGATTAACTCCACTTCTCGAATTTTATCAAACTTTGACGCCAAAACATTTTATTAGTGCTCAATTTATTTTATTCTATCAATTTCCTTTACTCTTCTTGTTGTGAAACTGCTTCAGCAAATGAACCCCTCAGTTTACGTGTATTAAATAGATATTTATTTAATACATCTGTCAAACTAATCATTTTCGAACTATTCGTCTTCGCAGAATAACGAAATATAAAAAAACTGCTGCACGCGAACCGTAACATTTTTAAAAAGTGCAACATCCTGCAAGTCACTACTCCCTGAACTACTTTTCATCCTCCCCAAATATTCAATTTATTCTTCATCTCCAAAGAATCTCTTCCAACAGGAAAAGAAATCACGACTCGCAAAATGCAGATGGAAGATCGAATACGGTGGTGAGCCGTACGTCTGAATGTAAGGATACGTTCTTTTTCTGGGGTGAAGATACAATACCGTGCAGTAGGTACTTACTTAGATACTTTCGCATTGCTAAATATATATACATAAAAGTGAAATAATTCTTTAAGTAAAACACTTTAATATATTGGTTTGTTCAAAGAATTTCTTTCATTTTATTAATACATACTGGGTGTACAATATTTTGTACATGAAGTCATATTATTGAATTATATAATTCGTTCCGATTGATTGTTTTTTTCATTCTTCAAGAAGCCTTATAATGCTATTTTAACTGTGAAAGGCATTTATAGGACAACTTAATAATTTTGATAGTGATATTAAGGTGTGTTTCAATGTGGCGGGCATTTTTTTACGCTTTTTAACGAACTTTTTTTGAAAAATCGGTAAAACTTATTAATTTAAGTTTTACACTATAATATTTACGTATATTTGAAGAAAGATTACAAATGTTTTTATTGAATAATATTTAAAAATAGCTGCCGTGGATTGGGAATGAAAAAAAGTGCGTTGCTGATTGTTATGATTTGATCTATTTTGCTTATTTTGAACAAAAAGATCCAATTGATTCTTAAACAGTAAAAATGTGGCTATCACAGGTACCAAAGAAGAAAGAAATATATTACAAATTTTTAAAATGCCGTCACAATGAACTTGGAGTTTTGCTTTCTTGTGCTTTTATATTTTTAAATAACTGTAAAAATCAGAAAAAAAAAATATTTCGGCTCGACTGAAGTACCGATGATGGCGCATGAAAAATTTGAGCTCAAAAGAAAATTTTAATCCTAAATAATAATATATTTTAATCCTAAATAAAAATATGCGGACACGACATAAACACGGTGATTCCGAAATCCGGTAAACAAATGGAATACAAAAAATCGGCTTCTGGCAACGTTCGCTCAGTTACTCGGACACCTAACCGAACCGAACCGAACCGAACGTACGAATACGCACGAAAACCGAAAACAAAACGAGGGGTATCGTCGATTTTTC